TGAAATAATTATTACCTGTATATGATATGACAACGATTTAAAATATACGGAATCATGATAGATTTTTTTATAACTTGATGCATACGTTTGGACAGCGTAGTACCTATATACGTAAATTATTATAAATATTAATGAATTGTTTATATTATAAATTTGAAGGTAAAATATCACAAATGATGTCAAAATAATCGTTCATCAACTCTAATATTTGTGATTCTAAAATTACATCGGAATTTTTGTTTGCATTACATGGTTAAACCTATATAAAATGTTTGATTTGTCTGTCCTGTCGCCTTCATGTCAAAATAGAATAAAATACTGTTCAAATACATGTATTACTTGTAATCCTTTAAATAATGAGATATTTTAAAACTTGGGTTATGCTCTCGATATTAGTAGTTAGATTTTTAAGTACATTTTATATAGAACTTATGGTGTAACCTTTTCAATTGTTAAAATTGTGTATTATTTATTGATAATTGCTATTCTTGGTATTCATTTTATAGTAGTCAGTTATGCAATTTTTAATACGTACCTCAGAAATAATTATTTTTAGGGAACGTCGATGACTTTCTTTTTCATACTTTCAAAGATATTATTCATGAAAATGACTTGTCAGTAATGTTTAATTAAAAACTGACCATTGCTTGACTGATCGAGGAATGCTGAAGAATTTCAAGTGTCCGTGACATAAATTGAAGGTTTATACACTCTGCATGTATAAACACGATTTCCTAGCACTTTTCAAAGTTTTACACAGATTTATTTAACGTGTTGTTCCTTGTTATTTAGCTATTTCATTCAATTGTTTAAATCACTTGTCAAGGACGGGTTACGTAAAATGTTACCATAAATAAAGTTGTTGTAAACGGTGCATCATACCTCGTAGGCATTTGTCATCATAGTTTCACATTTACGCAAAGGTTAGTTTGAAAATATTTCTTCTTTTATTTTCTTAAAATATGTTACTTAATATACACTGGTATGTGCAGCTGTATCGATAAAGAATTGAAGGGTGTGTCCTACGACCGTGGATAGAAAACTATTCTTCATATATCTGGGTCACGGGCCTGTTATTTTTATATACTACTTTTACTTTCATATAAGATGACCTATAAAACATTATGATATTTTATGATTTGAATCACCTTGTCACAGTAATCATTAAATAATTTCGTATTTTTTACTACCAGAAATGTCAAAAGAAACGTCATGTTCAAGATTATCGTCTTCCAGTTTATAATTCGATTCAATTATTTGCATGTATTAAACATGAGCGTTCATCAATCGTTACACTGACTCGGTCCACATGTACAGATTTAGTTAAACAAGTCCAAACTTGCTTTCTTGAGATGGTCTTTTTATTATTTTTATTCATACAACACATCACCTATTGTGTCATCAAACATCGTTATATCTGAATACAATGTCTTGATGTACCATGACATTTATATATCTCGCTTCTCTTAAATTATCTAAAGAAAATGTTTTGTTACTTAAATACGGTTTTAATGTTGATTTGATTATTTGCAAACAAAAATGCATCAACTTTTATTCCTAGCGATTTTTGTTTACTATCTTAATGGTTATGACTCTTCGTTTGTCAATTGGAATCCAGCAGCGAAGTATCTACTTCTAGTATTTTATAGATTCAAATATTACGGATCGCCTAGCATCAGTTTATCTGCTTTATTTTATATATTTAATTTAATAAAAAAATCGGTTTTATGAGTAAAAAATTCAATGAGAAAGAAAAATAAAATCCTGGCAAAATATAAATGTATGCTACCGTGTAACTTTTTTAATTCATAAAAAAGTTTCGAGGTCGAATTAATATCATTAATGAACGAAACTTGAGCACATTTAGAAGACAAGCTTATACAAGGATGTTGAGTGTGTGACATAAATGAATCATGTGTACAATATTTACCTCCTTTCTAAAACAATGATTTAATTATTGATCATCCTATATAATGTATCGTTCGCAAGGTACTATTAACTCTAACCATAAATTGTAAAAAAAGTTTAGTATTACCCGCGTAAATTTTTTTGCGGCTCATGCAGCACCCCGCGCAGTATTCCTCCTTTGCGTTTTTTTACGCCTCGTTACCCTTAAAATTGAGTTGTGCGCAGCGACTCGTGCAATATTCCAGCTAGCTGTTTGAATCCAAGAATAAAAGCATTTTAAACCTATGTCTCAAGCATACACAAAAGGTATGTCAAATTATGTTGACATTAATCAATATTTAATCTGATGCACGATAAATTATGTTCAAAGATTGATAGGGATTAATCGATAATTGCCTTAATTCTTTATTGAATACTTCATTCATTATTACAAAAAAAGCAAGGTTAAGAGGACCATATTAGATGCATCATGAATGACATAACAGAACAGTAAATTCTTTCTTATTTATGTTATGGAATTATTACTTATTTTCTCTTGAAGTTTCATTTCAGTAAATACTTCGAATAATTAATATTACATTTTCACAATCTTGTTTTCCAACAATTCCCTTCAAAAAACTTTCATATGCTTAAGAAACTAGCACTGTCTGTAAATTAATTACTCTATGTTTCATAATATTAATCTCGTGTTTAACGAAAGCTTCTTTAGTTTTCAGTAAAAGCTCTGTTAGTATTATATAATTGTAGGATTTAAATAAAAAAGTAAATTATTCTTGCAGTATAAAATACATATTATTTTTCGTTAATTGCATAGGTTTTATTATCCATTGGTGGTGCCTTAAATCTTGTTATTAAACATTAAATAAAATATTGGAATATATGAAATTTCATATTAAGAATATTTATCCAAAAATGTACTACGCTATTAATTTTAAGCGTTCTTGGGATGTTGCAATTCATCCTTCAAATGGTTCATTCGTGCTTGAGTCAACAACCATTGCGGCCTACATACATCCTACTCCAAGCGAACACATTCTTAAGGAGAGACATCAAATTATTGTACTTCAGTTTAAGGTCGATACATTTGTAGGATTATGTATAGAATAATTATGTTAACTTATACTCACAATGCACTAAGTACTTGTCGGTAGTTTACCTATCAAAATAAACCGTTTCAATTGCAGAGAGTAATTTCTACACTCACGTTTTAGAAAACTGTTTTTAAGTAGATTTTACATTCGTTTGATCAAAAACAATTTTCGCCACGTGATTTCTACTACATAATACTATAATACAAAGCACTTTTTTACGACTCTAATTTTTGTCCCGATGTTTATTAACAAATTTTGCAAATAAAATTTAAACCACTACCTGGGTACTGTTTGAGCTGAAATTGTTCATACGTATGTAAATCGCGTGGCAATGCAATATTATAATGACACGGTGCTGACCTGCTGATGGAACTGGAAGATGTCCATAGGAACTTCGCATCGAAACGACACCGCTTCATCGAGTTTGAGCTCGTTACAATTGTTTTTTTATTGAAAACGTTCGGTTCATGTTTACATAGAAGGAATACAAGTCAACGTAATAAGTACACCGTTTTGTTGTCAAGGAATTTTATGTCGTAAGTTCTGCGTTGCTGCGGAGTCTTTTGTTTTATAGGTGCGTGTCAAATACGCGTTAATAATTATTTGACGAAACAGTATTTGGCGCAGCATCATATGTGTAATGAGGCATAGTTGTTAACAAGATACCGTAGGATAGGTAAGCGATAGGCGTGCAACCTAAGAAGACAAGTGTTCGTTTTATCTATCCCATTTATAATTTACGGAACATTCGTAAGCGACTAACTTATATTATAATAGAAGCAAGTCAACAAATAAAGAATATTTATAGAAATATTGTTGAAATTAGGTTACCTGTTAGCGTGCACGTATTTAATGTATCATTGATTTCGTAATAGAAGTGAGAGGAGGGCCGAGCGCTTCTTTGAAGATTTGCGTTGGAATCGTGCCCTGATCTTGACATTTGTCGATCTGGTATTTTGACCTTATGACTTATAGTTGTCTTCAACAGTAAATGTAAATATATACGCATCTATTATTTTCTCTTCCAGTCGTCTTGCATATTTTTAGCTTATTAAGTTTGTGCAACTTGCAACTAAAAAATATAGTATAATAATTAACTTTACTAGTTAAGTAATACGTTACAATTCGTAAATAACCTAATACAATAAATTAATTGTAATGTGTCATTTAATCGGGGTAATTTTCCTCTTAGGTTAACATATTTTAAAATTTTTCTTTTTTACATGAAATGGTTATGTAAAGTGTATTTTAAATGTGTCGGCATAATATAATTATACAAAAATAAATTTTGAATAATAAGATTATACGATGAAACTGGAGAATTTGAAAACAACAGCTTTTATAAATATTTATGTTACCATATACATATTGTATTAGATTATTTAAATTTATTTTGAGCCTTAATAATAGATGATATTTGGCGATATAATTATTCTGTTATCATGCAAAGAACACGTGTTTAATATTATTTTGATTATTATTATAATAGTATTGTTGTACTTATGTGTAAAATCACAAACTACGAGTATATATAACTATTCACTATTCAATAACAACTACATATTTTGATATAAAAGATAAGCTTAATATAATGTAGTATAAATCTTAGCATGCGGTGAAAAATGTTTACCTTTTTTTACTCCGACAATACGTTTGAATAGGAAATTTTATAGCAATCTGTATCATCTACACAAGTGATCACTCATTTTCGCTAGGCGCTAAAAACAAGATATTAGTATTTACAGACTCTAACAAAGTTAACCACTGGCGTGTTTTTTATCCTATTTAATTACACGAATCCTAAATACATAATTGAAATAAATTATGTTTTCAGTTTATCATTTATGCACCCGTTGTATATTTTATTAAGATAGCAATAGCAGGGAAAATTCGAACCTTGAATTTCATTTGTCTTAAATTTACTAACTTAACCAGGTAAAACCACAAATAAAACTACGAGATTATATAGAAATATTTAATATTTACATTGAATATTTAAAAAAATATTTTAAAGCTTACTCATAGAGTTAACACATTGATATATCACATTTTTAATATTTTCGTCGATATAAAATATTCCATAATTTGTTAGTACCCCGTCCTTTTGAGTATATCCGTTATTGATTGTCAAATGCTGGAAAGAAAGTTAATTTACAATTTTGACAGAAATAAGCTGCTATCCAACATAATTTAAGCTGAAGAGGCAGAAGCGCTTACTTCCTCAGATGTCGGGGCTGCACTAGCAGCAGGCTCCGAGACCACTTGAGCTGTATCTTCCGCCGCCACTGTTGTTACGTCAGCGTTCGCAGTTGTGGCTTCATCTACTGCTGAAACGTCAGTAGTTGATGCTAAAGTCTCAGCTTTTGCCGTGGCATCACTAGCTACTGCAACTGCTACTGTAGTTTCTCCACTGGAAGATTCAGTAGTTTTTTCATCTGATGAACCTGACGTCGTTTCTACAGATTCCGATGAACCAGTAGTTTGTTCATTTGAAGATGCCTGAGTCGACGATTCTGATAATGTCTCTTCAGGTTCAGCTCCAGAGCCAGCCTCGGTAACATCTGCTTTAGGTACAGTTACATCCGAAGCTTCAGTCGTTCCCGATGTTAATTCAGCTTCAGTTCCTGATGATGTTTCTGTACTTGCAGCTATTTCTTCAGTGTTACTTTGACTTGGTGTTGACGTTTCTTGTGGTTGTGAGTCAGTTTGTGCTGATTCTGTTTCGGTGGTGGCTGTTACTGGTGCAGCTTCAGTGACATCTGATTTTTCACTCGATTGAGGAGAATTTGTTGACCCAGATTCGCTTACTGTGGTTTCAGAAGTTGCAGCATTATCTTCAGGTGCGTTAACAACAGTAGTTGAAACTGTTTCGGGCTGTCCTGCTGATTGTTTTGAAATAACCTCAGGCGTTGTTTCTGAACTAGCATCAGTAACGCGAGATTTTTCGTTAGATTGAGCTTCCGTGGTAGTTGTTTCAGATTTAGGAGCTGCTGATCCAGGTGTAGTTTCGGCTGTTTCTAGTAAATCACTTTTCCCAGTCGTAGCACCTGCTTGCAGGCTTTTGTCTGGTTGCTCGGATGCTGGCTCGGATACGGATTGCGATTCAGTTTCGGCAGGTGCTGCTTTATCATTAGATTGTGAAAGCGTTGAAGGTTCGGTTGATCCCGACTTCGTTCCAACTGGAGGAGCTGCGGCGTTCTCAGTGGTTTCAACATTTTGTTCAGGAACACCCGAAACCGTAGCTTCAGCTGGCTTTGGCTGTAATTCTAATTGTTGAGTCGCTAAAGTAGCCGAATCATTAACAACTGGATTGTCTCCAGATTTTTCAGAATCTTTTGGTTGTTCTTGTTGTTCAGCTGAAGAAGCAATGGATACGGTCTCAGGAGACTTAGGTTTATCTTCTGATGCCTTTACACTTGGTGCTTGCTCTGATGCCGATTCAGAGTTGTCTGGCGTCTTCAAAGCGCGACCAGTCTTTTCATTTGAAGCAGGAGAAATCGGTACTGGTGTTGGCGCTCTAGGCAAATGACTTCCGATAGGCTGGAAGCCATTTTCATCAGCAATGTAACTGTAAATTTATAAGAAAAATTATTCATACCATCATTCAGAGTAAATTGCTTTATACAAGATCTGTAATAATTCAATAAATACCTTAAAGTGATGACGGTGCCGTCGGGAGCAGTATATGAGTATGAGCCTCGTTGTACGTGAATTTCATCACTATCACCACTTTCGTCACTTTCTCCACCTTCCTCGCTGCTACTGGCTTTACGTCCTGCAGCCTTTGGTACAATTTTATCGTATGATGTTTCTTCTCTCTTTATGCCGTTACCCGTTTCATAACTAGAAAAAAACAAAAAAGTTAATTGTCTATTCAAGTATCTCGTAAACATTTAAACATTATCAAAGAAATCCAAGTGCATTTTATTGTCTTTAGCCTAATTCTTATCAATAAGCCAAGCACACAAAGCATTTTAAGCACGAAAGTTAAGCATTATAAATAGTGTAAAACGTCACAATTTTATAACTTAGTTAAAATGCGAAAATACTGTAAATTTTAAACTATTGAAATGCTTTGTAAGGAATAATACTTATTCACGGCCAGAAAAAATATATTTATATTTTTCTTGGATTTATTACTTAGCAGTGTAGAAGTGTGAATTGCAGTAGCTCATACTAATAGCAGTCACAAGTGTACATGTGTGTAGTAAATTTAAATTGTTTTATTTTAAAGAATAAAAACTTAAACCTTCAAATCTGGTAATTCATCCATTTTTCTTATACTATTTGCGTTTAAATTAATTATTAAAATACCATCTAGGTCTATCGCTTTATATAAATATTAAAAGTAAATTCTTACGAAATAGCAATAGAAATAACCATAACAAAAAGTTAGTGGATTTTTTATTATAAAATTGTTATTTATATTTTCGATAATTATCATTCGATCTACAATAATTATTTAAAAGTTATATGACCACATTTAGTAAAATAAAAATCATTAAGTTGTAAGTAAAGAAGTAAGATTGTAGAAAAGGAATATATTGGGCTATCGATACATGGGGATAAAGATAAAAAGTATCTTTAATACCGTAATGATAATTAATTTTTTTTTTGGTTTATAATCCAAATACAATTAATTATGTTACCTGAACTTGTAAGTTCCGTTTGGATCCAATTCTTCAGATTGTGAAATGATCGGTATGACGGTTGGCTGTTGCTTTTCCAATGGCACGACGGCCGTCGGAGCCGCCAAGACGTAACTCGCCGCTACGAGACCTAGTAAAACTATTTTAAAAATCATTTTAATCTAAGTACCTAATCACTCCCGAAATTTACTGATGAATGGTACTCCAGACTTCGTAAGCACTTATATGTAAGATTCATCTATTTACACTATCCTCCCCCCGCGCACCGGTGGTACGAGCCTCAGCGGACGCTAAATACTTCAACCTTAGCAGTAGCCTGATGTGTTCTTCAGAAAATTGCACAATCGTCAAGGTGTCAATAACATGACACGAAGGGTGACGATCAGTCGCGATTCGAATATTTTTTTTGTTCTGATCTATGTAATCGATGTATCTTTTCACAATTTAGCTTACTTAGAACATAAAGCTAGATTCATGTAGGATGAAGAGTTTTATTATTGTTAAACTAGTGTATATGTTATAATGTTTTCGATATATTAAGTAAGAGAAGCTACAAGTAATTTTAAAAAACTTTGTTCGAAAAACATCGTTGTTTTTTTCCTAATTTTTATGTTTGTATATTCAATTGCGTGGGCCTAATTTTTAATAATCTGTAATTTTAGTTATATATATTTAGGGGGCTGAAGTGTATGAGGATAACTGCATCTTTATTTATTTAAGTAGTACAAAGTCGGATTTAAAAAAAAATTAGATTCATCATGTTTTTGTTTACAACTTTTTGATGTTGTCTTCCGCATTATTTAAGACTAAGCTAACGTTGATGTCATACTGTAACAAAATATAGTTACCTATTATACGAATTAAGTATTTTTTATTCTTGTCAGACAAGTAATTCGGTTATCTAGAGGTATAAGACAGATTTGACCCGTGCTAGTGACTCATCTACAATACGGCTACAAGCGCGTCTGTCTTGTTTTGGAGTTGTTTAACAATTTTAAAAACAAATTAGAATGCTTTTACGAAGTAATTTAGTGTTAATTTTTACTGTAATTACAATTAGTTTACTTTGTGAACATGCACAAGGGAAGCGTGGACGTTACAGGTATAATCATTCACCATCAATAGAATCAACTGAGAATGTACCAGTGGCTGTAATTTATGATAGTGATGATATCCGTGAAGATAAATCCATAAAACTTTCCGCTAATTTCCAAACTTCAAAAGATGATCTAATCACTCCCGAGAATATAAAACAAAATTCAGATACGACACCGAAAATAAATGCTGATGTACCAAAACAAGTAAAGAGGGTTGAGCAGAAAAAAATTCAAAGCAACTCTTTAACAACAGACAAAGAAAGAAGTCTACAGATACCAGTTAGTGTTGTATATGACTCAGAACCAAGTAACAAGGAGAATGTTCCAAGAACCAGTGCCCCGATTGTAAGAAGAAGACCAACCGGAAGACGTCTACCAAAATCAGATACATATAGAAAACCTAAAGACAACATTGTAACTGATAAACAAATTGAAGAGAAGAGCATTGTTAATTCTGATACATCGTTGATTCCAACAGCTACCACAGAAAGTTCTCTGAATACGCCTGTTAAAGATCAAGGTCAAGTAAAAATTGTAAAACGAAAGCGAACTCGCGGCCCTGTGGTACCGATTGTAACTGAAAGGAACTTCGTATATGCACATAGCGGTAACTTTCATTATAGGTAACTGTGACAAACAGTATGTAATATATTTTTAATAAAATGTCATTATTAATTGAATATTTTATTCTATAGCTTCGAAGGCGGTGATGGCACGAAAGTATTTGAGGACGGCTCATTAAAATCAATAAATGACGAGACTGGTGAGGCTGTGTCTGGAGGTTTCTCATACAAAGTACGTATAATTTTTAGGTTTAACTTTAGTTACGATTACATGTAAAAAAACATATCCATACGGAAAACAAGAAAAGATCTGAAAAGATCTTAACTAATTCGTTATATTGTGTTACGTTACAAACCATAAAATTCGTACACAAACTTATTGTTTTGAAATTATTTTAGGATAAAGACGGCAACGACATCAGCTTATCATACACCGCAGATGAAAACGGCTACAGACCAATTGGTGCCCATCTGCCTACGCCTCCTCCAATTCCACCAGAAATCGCACGCGCCTTGGCCTACCTCGCTACAAAATCAACCCCACAACCCATTACAGAACCTACAAAAAAATTCGATTAGTCTTAAAATAATTACTTGTTCTAAATTATTAAAATAGTTGTTAATAATCTTGAAATAAAATATTTTTTTTTCTGACGTATATTATTTTCCCATAAACCAGTTTTTAATTCATGCGATAAATTGATAAAAATCATTTCTCTATTGAATTAAGTCGCTATGCTTGTAACAGATTTGGCTATTATTACTGTCTGTTAGTGTGTTGTATAAATTATAATTTTTACACATTCAGTCAAAGCCAATTTGTCAATATTAATATTTGATATCTTCTCAAACATTCCAAATGTTAGACGTCTGTAAAGTCATTGATAATGCGTTTGTAATTATTGTATCAATAATCTAATATTGTAATCTATACTATGCTCATTGTATTGAAGTGTTAAGTAATTGGAATTTATTCATTTCATTATTTTTTCTTTACTTTGTGTAACTATGATTTGGATTAACCATATTCATAATCGTCCCCGGTCTTATTCGCTGTTAAATGTCTGTGTACTTTAATTGTGTGTGGTAACTGGCTGTATACATTGACTTTGATATTTTTAAAATTAAATTAAATATGTTTTCTTTTTTCAATACAATTTAATTCGAGTATTTTGATAAACTTTAACTTTTTGACATTTAAGATAGCCAAGCACTCATCACTGAACTTGCAGTCTTTCTAGTTAAACAGGTTCTCAATTGATAGCCATAAGTTTTTTTGTTACAGACGATTTATATCTGCATAATTTAAAATAAATAAACAGTTTTTTTAAGCAATTGTGGAACCAAATAGCATTCGTTTTTTTATAACAATTATTATCTCATATATTTATAAATATAAAATTTTCCAAAATTAAATTGTCCTTAGTGCTCTACAAAATTCTAAATTTTTCCAATAAATAATGATAATAAGCTTCAAAGAATAAACTAAATGATGCAATCTTTATCACCTTACCGGGGAGTATCTTTGAATTTTGTTATTTTAAAAATTGTTATAACAGGAAACTTTATGCCAATAAAATATAAATTAGCGATAAGTTTAATGGGACGTACTTTATTGCCATTTCAATTAAATATCATATTAATATTCATAATAATTTTATTGTTATTTTATCTTCCATCTGTCTGTTCGCAAATCCGCGAATGATCACGGTAATTTCCGAAACGACAGAACTTATTTGACGGGACTTTTACTGGAAGGCAGCTTATGTGTGCCATAGGAAATGGGGTTTCTTTTTTAAATTCCGCGCTGAAGTAGCGAGCGACGGCTAGTCGTAAATAAATATCAATTATTAATTTAAACGTAAACCACGTAGTTAAATAACAGATTGTACAAGCGATCTTTTGTCCGAAGTATTGGCGATTAAATGATGAAATGCCTACAAATAACTTATGATGTTTTAATTCTAATACGTACATTCAAAGGAACGCTTTATCGTTATTACACCTGATGAAAAAAAATATTTAAGATTGATTTTCACTCTATTGGTAATAAAAAGCAAAGTCACGTTTCTTTTGAAATATGAGATGCGACATTTTAAGATTCCATGAATTAGTATTATCGATAATTTAGAATATAATAATGACTCAGTAAAATGATCTCATTAATATTAGAGAATCTACAGCAAATCTCTCCATTACAGTATACTTTGGACATTTTATTTCCACTTCTTGAGGTTGACGTCATTACGTCACGATATTTTAAAATCTCGTTCGACGTCATATTAACTCAAGCTAATTGTTCTGTAATCCACTAGCTGTCTCTTCGATTTATACTATTAATTTTCAATAGAATGTTGATGTTAGATTGACATGTCGATCATTGCTTTTTGTGAGACATTGAAATCAATTACGTTTTATATTATTTGTCGTCTATGTTGTACAAATCTTTGATCCATCAAACAATATTATGTTATGTAAATTTTTATAAGCTGTCGCCTTACATAGGTGTGAAATGTCACTTCATATATTATAAATTGTAAGTCAAAATCATTTATTTCAGTAAAGAGTATCCCAAAGTAGACAACTTGTTACAATTGGGTACCAATTACTAAGTTTTATTGCGTTAAACTCAGGTTCTGGAGCTCGGAACACCAATTGATAAAATTATCGAACTAAAAGCGCTATCGAATAGTTAAAAAGAATTCAGCACACCGATTTAAGCTTACTTATAATTATTGTGTTTTTCATAGGATTCGCTGATAATTATTTCTCTTCCATGGATCGTATTGCAAGAATAAAAAATCTATTAATATTGCATGACGCAATTAAACCTTTGTTTTAAACAACCAAATGTTGTTTACATTTTATATATGTTTTCGAGACAAATTATAGGCTTTATAGGAAATGACCTCAGCGGTTAACACCTTCAACTGATTCGGTGGACAATTGTAATGCTAATAAATATATTGTGTAATCAACATTCCGGATTCCTAGAGTCTTAATAAAACGTCCAATATTCATTCACAATGCATCTTTGGCACTGATTTTGCATTTATTAAATAAATAATACAATATATATTATATTTGTGCCGATATAATCTTTATCACAGTTCATCGGTCTAGTTTTTATTTGTTTTTTCATTGCTTTATTTATAAAAAAAAACATGTATCACATGCAACTTGGTAAACACACTAAGAATTTTAATTCACATATCTACAAATGAGATTGTATCAAATCGTGTGTTTACAAAGCAGTAAGGATACTAACGAGCAGACATAAAACGAGTATCATAAGTATTTGAGTAAAAATGTAAGGTCGCGACGATCAAGCTCTGGATGGAGGCGGCGGTGGAAGGGTTGCCAAGTAGTCTAATGCCTTCTGAATTGCCGGCGGGATCGGGGGTGGTGTCGGCAAATGTTCACCCTATAACATTAAAAACAACGTTAAACAATCGATCAAAGTAGAGATACAAAGAACGTGTAAGGATTAGTCAAGGCTAGCTATTAGTGTTTTCAATCATTATTGGTGCTCAACAAATATTTTCTTCGTACGTCTAAGCAAATGTTTTACACATTTTGTACCCACTGAGGACACGTGCATTAGCATACGGATATTTTTTGATGTTAACTACGATGTAGTATATCAGAAAACAGTAGACATTCAATTAAATGGCTGTTAGTTTAAGTACTTGACATCAAAATTCCTCGTTCCGAATAAATTTATTTAAAGCCGCTTATACAAATTTATAATTCCTTATAGAATTTTAACTGCGTATATCTTAATTAAATGAAATATCGTACATTACCAAAACTCACATGCTTTTGAATATACGTTTAGAATTTATTGGAGAATAGAATATGTTCTATTTTTACAGAGGGAATTTTTTTATTATCGGTGAACTCTCAAACAAAATATTAATGTGATTATGTCAGTTACTTGACTATTAAAAAAGTTCAGAAGTACCTAACTCTTATCTCTAATTGAACTTTGTAGTACTTTAATTATTATTTTTTTATATTATTAGGTGGCAAACGAGAAAATGGCCACCCGGATTCGCCGAAATAGCGATATGACCGCTGGCCATAGGCATCCGCAATTGCAGTTGCATTGTCTATATTTAATCGATGGAGGGTGAACGCACAGAAAAATAATATTTCCAACTCCCTCATCATCCCCTCCTCCGTAAAGTCCCCTTCCCATCCTTTCTTTATTTTAAAAGGGTGGGATGGGATACGGAACCCGGCACCGGGCGAGCCAGTCAATTCGAGCAATATATATATTGTTGTATTGGTGTTTAGCACTCTAATTATAATTGCATACCTCGGGTTTGAAGCCGTTTTCATCATCAGCAATGTAGTTAAGGTTGATGACTGTGCCGTCGGGCGCTGTGTAACTGAACCCTCCCTGTGCTACAATCACGTCATTGCTGTCGGGACCACTCGCTTTCTTTAATGTTCCGGTCTCCTCTGCTTTGATTCCGTTCTCGGTTTCATAGCTGGAAATATGTATCAGAAATACATTAAATAAGCGCTTATTTACTTACTTAAAACTTGAAACTTAAATTCATAAAGACATAAGCATAGCAATTATAAATTACGAGATTAACAAAAATCATTGGCCTAGCCCAAAGCATACTCATCGACAGAAAATATTCCAGATTCAAGGAATTCTTGCCAAATGGTTTTAATTGATTTTGAATATTATGCTAAAGTTTTATAAACACTTCTCTATAAATTTTAAAAAATACACTTCTGTTTAGTTAAGTTTTATAATCAAAATACCAAAATTGGACTTGAATAGAAGTATAGTAGAGTTAGTTTGCACCCTAACCTTTCTGACTGTGTGTCGTATGGGACCCACCAACTGGAAAGATTAAACGATTCCGCGAGTTAAAATTACCAACTAATAGTATTTTTATAATAAAGTCTTACTTGTATACATAAGATCCATCTGGTTGCTGATCGAAGTCCTGCTTTAAAATTGCTATGACCTTTTCAGGCTGCTGAGGCGCGGCTGCGGCCAAAGCGAGAACGGCGCAAATCAATAACACCCTCTGTAAAAATATGAATGAAAAATAATTAGTATCGACCCCAAAAAAATGACGCCTGTAAGATTTTTGTGAGCAAAAATAACGAACATAAAATTTGATGTTTGTAAAAATTCAGGCATGTTGTCGTATTTTCAATGCAGTGGTGTAAATTAAATTTTATTACCTTAACAAATAAAACGCTACAATCTTATCTAATCGGAATTCAATTTACACGTCAAAATGTTTGTTTTGAATAGAAAAACAAAAGTTGTGCTTAGGACAACATGTTTTTGATTTAATTTATAGGAAATTCAGGGCATAAGGTTTCTTGGTGAATTTAAAAACCTATAACGCGGTAGTAATACGTTATGTTTTTCCTAGCTTTAACTTAAAAACCTACCCACAAGAGTGTCACTCGATCCTTCAAATATGTACATCTGGATTATCATATTTTGTAGATTTAAACTATTTAAGATTTAAAAAATTATGTTGACAATGCTAAACGGCAAAATTTTAATCAATGCTATATTTCAGACCGTATCTTTTTTTAATTTTAATATACTGCAAATAAAAAACTTGCTGCTTTTATATGGTAATAAAATGACGAGAATGATATTCGTTATCCTAATTTATAAATAGTTTTATGCTTCTTTAAACCGGATATTGTCACTTTCTGAAAACTGTAATGACCTTTATGACAACTTTATTCAGTACAGCAGAATTATAAAAAAATAAATAAATATAGCTTATTTGTCATCGGGGATAGTGTAGCTTTCCAATACTAGTGTTTAGTAAATACATAATTTTATGGCAAAGTTTTGTACAAATTAAACAATTAAAATGTATATTTTCCAAATATTATTGCATTTTACCTG